ATGGGGTGGCTGGGTGATAGACATTGGGGAGGGTATGTGCTATGGTGAGCGCTGTGAATTGTGCAAGACTGTTGAATCACAGACCTGTACCTCTGAAACAAATAATACAATATATGTTAAAAAAAAAAAAAAAAAGAAGAAGAAGATAGCAGGAAGGGAAAAATGAAGGGGGCGAAATCGGAGGGGGAGACAAACCATGAGAGACTATGGACTCTGAGAAACAAACTGAGGGTTCTAGAGGGGAGGGGGTGGGGGGATGGGTTAGCCTGTTGATGGGTATTAAAGAGGGCACGTTCTGCATGGAGCACTGGGTGTTTTGCACAAACAGTGAATCATGGAACACTACATCAAAAACTAATGATGTAATGTATGGTGATTAACAACATAATAAAATAAAATTTAAAAAAACCTTCTGTAACTATATTTCTATTATTACCGTAACAACAGTGTCTTTTGAAATTTCTCTGTACGAATAAGTTTAATGCTTCACTTCTCCATCCTCTCCTTTCATTAGTATAATCTAAGGATTTATCCCCTGGTTATTGTTAAATATTTTATATTAATTACATTGTCCCTGAAGGGCAATAGCATTTAATTTGGCCATGAAATTTAGGGCAGTTATTTTTGTTGCTAACCCTAGTCCTTTTATTCCAAAATTAGGCTTTTTGAATTCTTAATTTTTATTTGTATTTTGATGGGTTGGAATTAAGCTAAGGAATATTTTAGTAAAGGTTAATAAGCACTGTATTTTCAGAGCTTTGGACTATGAGAGACTGCTTTTCCTATCCCTTCACAAGTAAAAGGCAGTTTGGCTGGCAGTGGCTAGCTCTGATTGAGTCTTCTCTTTCTGTTGTAGTTTAGTAATACAGAGGAGATATTTAAGACCAATTGGACATTTGTTTCTTTGATGGTGACTTACTTTCATTTGATTTTTGTGTTGAGTTGTTTTTGCTTTTATGCCTGGTACTGAAGATTTTTTTTTTATTTTAACCCAAGGATTCAAAACTTTTGTCAGAATGTGCCTTTGAATTGCTACTATTTGGAATACAATTTAGTCCTCTTTTATTCTGTTCAGATTTTATTTTTTTACTGTCTTTGATTATTCTGTTTCAGTTCTGCAATCGTGTTTTCTCAGAAACAACTATAATTAGACTTGATTTTTCTGGTCCTTCAGATCTAGCCTTCTTTCATCTATTGGTTCTTTTCTCTGGTCATATGGGGGTGTTTGTCTTCTACATCAATGATTTAACTTTATGTAGTACACATCTCCATTTTTCTCTCTCCCCCCATGTGGGTAATATTCTGTCACTTCATTTTTAGAATCTTTGTACTGCTTCTTTATTTCACTTAGATTCTTTTTTTATCATACCCAGTAGCCCTTTATTGATTATGGCTTTCTACTTTGGTCTTTAAGGGATATGTCTTCTTGTATCGTACTAACAATGCCAAATACTTTTCTAAAAATTACATGTGGTTCCTCTAGGGAGTTGTTTTTAGGAGACAGGTCTTTGTTTGACTCTTTAGCATGCTCTTTTCTTTCCATATTTATGCACTACTTCTTGGTAGACCTATGTAGACATTTAGCTCTAATTTTCGTTTCTGAATTTGGCAATATCCATTTAGACCTGCTCACAGAGAGGGTGCATGGATTGCCCTGGGTCCCACCCTCTCTCTGTCATCCTCTTGTTTCCCTAGTAAAAGTCCTCTTTTAGATCTCAGACCTTGTAGCAGTTGACGTTTGCAGGCCCTGGCCTATTTTCAGTGGTCTAGAAGACTTTCATATAAAGCAGCAATTGCTAATGCCTTGTTCTTCATACTCTCTATATGGATTATTTAACGACTCCAACACCCCGAAGATATATCACCATAAATCATCTTGTCTCTAAATCTGCCTTTCTGCAACTGAAACCCCAGGGTGCTACATATTTCCCTTTCTTCCCACTTACCTTTTAAAAGTAGCAGTCACTAAATGATAGGGTGGGGGGACTCTCCTTCTGCCCCAAAAAGCCTCATTCATGATAGAGAACAGGTTTCTGACCATACAGATTGTTGCATTTGTATCGAGATAGTAGAAAGCAGAGAAAGGGAGATATGCTAAGATTTTCCTACTTCCTTCAGGACTCATAGCTTGCTTTTCTCTGCCTTGAATTACATTTTAAAAATCTAATTTTATTGTTTGTTTTCTGCCATAAAATTCTCTGATTCTTGCAGTAGGTTGAAGGTTATATATATATATATTGCAGTTGCACGCACCTTTATTTACCTCTTGTTTTATAGGCGTTTTAGTGGGAAGTTGGTGGAGGCTATCCATCAGAAGACTGTAGCTAGACATCATTTAAAACTGTAACTTATATGAAACTACACAAAAAAAGTTATGCATGTGGCAGAATGCTTGAAAATTTTGCTTCCTGCCGATATTTTGTGGAAATAAGCTCTGTCTTGTAATTATTCATCACAAATTGTTATTCAAATGATGGAGGCATTGGTGTCCTGTATTAGAACCTAGGTTTTAGGAAAACTGGGTCACTTTAGTGAGGGAATAAAATGTAGGTGCATTAAGTGATTGTAGGAATTCCAATGACTTCCATAAAGTTTTTATTATACATAAAATTGCCTGATCACTGACTACTAACAGAGGAGTTTTAGAGCTGAAACAGCTGTAAATCATTTAATCTGGGAGTTGCAAATTCACTTGCCTTCAGAGGCCAGAAAAATGACCTGCATATGCGTGAAGTAGGTTGGTTTCATACATTGGGAAGTGGAGATTACTTGTGTCACCAAATCCTTGGGTTGTAATATCAAAAGAGTGTACTATAAACCTGCTCTCCCATTATAGAGATGAAAACTGAGGTCAAAGAATAATAGATTTGCCCAAAGTTAGGAGATTCTGTGTGTTTGAATCAGAACCAGCTATGTAGTTGCAGTGCCCAGTGCAAAATAAAATGTGGGGTCTCCTGTTCAACAATTATGAAGAATTTCAAGATAGTGCCAGCAAAACATTAAAAACAAGCGTGGGACCCTGTGGTCGTCACTTCTCGTTCCTGGTCTTCAGTTCTGATCTAGAATTTATACATCCAGAAGGAAACATACAGACAACTCTTATCCACAACCACCAAAAATCAGTAACGGAGAAGTGGTTAAAATTAAGTCCTTGACTTTGATGCTGCAGTAAGTGAACCAACTTTACTTACAAGAGGGCTTTTCTATATCATTTGCAAGTTTTCGTTGAATTATTATACTGCTTCCACCCATTTTTATCGTTTCTTCCTGAATTCAGTTTTATGAATTATTAGTTGAAGATTTTCAGCCCTGAAGTTCAAAGCTCTTCTCTAAATGTTAGTTCTGGTTTGAATTCCAGGATGTTTGAAAGGTCAGTCAGCCCAGGAATGAAACTCTGAGGGACACTTGTGTCTGCTCTTGGGCCTTACTCAGCTCTCAGAGGCCCCCCATCATTATTCTTTTCCTCTTACCTTCAGAAGCTGTCATTTTTTCCAGAATATTTTGTCTAAAATTTGAATCATCTCCTAAAATCACCTCTCCCTCCCTTCCCTCCCCGCCCTTTTTTTACCTTATTTGAAAATTTGACATGGCTTGCAAACACATAAAGCAATTTGCCTCCTCACAGATTGAAGTTGACTAGCCCCTTTCTCCCTTGTGTTCATTTATAACTTGTAACCCATAAAACTACTAACAGCATAACCTCAGGAATGCTAATTAGTGAAACTTTAAAGGCATAGCTATTCACACCCAGAAAATATAAGAAGTAAAATTGGGAATTGGGTACTAGGGTAAACCATATATACATATAATATGTAATTTATGTAATTTATATAAAGTCTTTATACAAAGTCTTATGTATAGATTTTTAAAGTTTCAGGTACTTCACCACTAAGTATTTCACAGGACATTCTCCTACATAGACTGTAATACAGTTCCCCCACTCAATAAATTTAACATTTAAATAACACTGATGTCTAGTTTAAGATTCATATTTAATGTGTTCCATTGTCCCAGTAATTTTTGATACTGTAAAAAAATCTATCTGTTTATTATCTATGAAAGCCATTTTACAAAATCTTTAATTTTGATATCAAAGGCATGAATTTTCTTCCTAAGTTGAGGTCTTGAAGGTCTTATTTTGAAGTTTTTGGCTATTCCCAAATTGCAAAGATCTCTTCCAGCAATTTCCTCTGTTAGCTTTACAGTTTCACCTTTCAAATTTAGGTCCTACATCTAAGTGCGGTTCATCTTTGTATAGGGTAAAAAGTAGGGCTTCAACTTTTTTTTTCCTCCTGCAAACATCACCACTGTCCACATAAAGTCTTATATTTTAAGACTTAAACATTGAATCATTTAAAATTGGAAGAGAACCAAAAATGTTTTTCCTCACTGAAAAAATCAAAGTCCAACTAACAGCTAGATGTATGGTTTGGGGTGGTATAAGGTTGTCGTTAACAGTCGTATATCAGGTGGATAACTTAGATTCCAAGTGAGTTCCTTTAGCAACATCCACAAAGATGTCAATAAGTATTTGTTAAAAGATGAAGGAAAAAATCTTACCTGATTTAAAAATACTAAGGCTTTTATTTTTTAAACAAGTATGAACTTAAGTTAACTTACTTACTTAATATCTGAATTAGACAAGGAATTCAAAACAATCTATGTACCTTTGTATTGTTGAACTGTATTCCTTCATGAGCAGTTAATAAGAGGAAATGCACATGTTGGAGAGAGAAGATGAACATATGGGCAAATACAGTAACTGGAAGAAAATTTGTTATGAATTATTAATATTTAAGATTTTGCGGGAAACCATGCACATGTGTTTAGCTAACACTGAAATTGCCCATTAAACTTAGTCCCTGGTTGGAGTGGTGGGGCCCGGGGTGGGGGCGGGGTTGGCAAATTTAATGGACTTTTTTTCACTCACATGTTTCAGAATACTATACTGTGAAATACATAAACTGAATGTCATAGAATGTTTTTTTAAACTTCTACAGGTGGAGATTTTCATTTTCCCTTTATGTATTTACCTATGGAGTCCGGTTCCTAAAAAAGGTAGGATCTGCGAAGTTACTTTATATAATTCTTATGTTAACTGTAGGCCTATATCTTATTTTTTATGTGCGACAGAGTAGTATTTTAAATCATTGTAACAGGCTTCCGAAGAATATTTGTGCATTTTTCTTTGACTTACAAAAATATTTGTAGTTTATCCTTTATAGTAAATATCTTTTAGGTATATACCAAAAATACCTTTGAAAATAATTTGTTTTGCCAGTGAAAGATGTTACATGTCCCCTGACCACTGTAGTTGTTACTTACTACTTATGGCCATTAGGAGCCGTTTAAAATCCTTCTGATGCTTTGAAAGAAGTGAAGAGTTTCCACGTCATACAATTGAAAAAATCAGTTGTTGCAATGTGTGTTATCACTATAATCTTCACCAACAAAAATTATGTTTTAGTGTCTTGCAAAGTTATTAACACGGCAACACCAGCTGCTGCTGGAAAATGGAGTTCCTTTCCTAGATTGTGTTTCCCCTGCTGCTCTTTTGCTATTCCTGCATAAACTGAGGCACCTTTATCTGTGAAAGTAATTCTTCAAGGCTGCCATAACCTTCTTCCTGGTTATTTCAATGCTGAATGCTACTACTAACGAGTTAGGCTGCTTAAGTTCAAGTCTTAGGAAGACTGAGCTTCTCTTAGTCATGCACGTACTAATAATACTGATTTGGCAGAAGGTTGGAAATGATTTTTTAAAAAGTTTATAGTATTAAGCTTTAAAGTGAAATCTATGTTATCTTTGTTAAATAGAAAATTTTTTCCAAAGTAAGGCATTGTGCCAAGTGTCATGTCTTACTGGTAAATTTTCATGTAAATATTGATGTGAAAATTTGCAAATGCGTTTTCAAAGTCTAAGTTATAAGATGCTATCTGCCTGTGGCAAATTCTATTATAAATAGTGGTTGTTTCCCAATGTCATATTTGCCTAGAGGGATTATTCTTTTTACTTGTTGTCTTTTCCTTTAGTAACTACGCTTATTTTTCACTTAATTAAGGCTACCTGGCCCAGAGACCCCTTGAATAGATTAAAAGAATGAACCTCATTCTTAAGGCTCAAACAAATTCTCAACTGGGGTACATAAATGTGGTAGAAGCTGCCTTTTTTGGAACCCTACTGTTCTAGTTTTCAAATTTACTTACTTGGAAAGAATGACTTACAACGTGCTTACAACGTCATTACCTTGGAATAGGAAATAGCTTTGGATGGAATTTCAGCTGACAAGGGAAAGTTGTGTTTCATGGGAATGGCCAGTTGCTACCTGAGGTCAAAGTTTGGAATTCATGTTGGGTTCTGTGGGTGAAGGGCTTTGACAATTAAGAGAGATGGTGAGAGCCAGGAGCACTTTTTTTTTTTTGCCCTTCTGTGGGATATGGTCTCTTTTAGCCCTTCTACATCAAGCCTGGCCATCTGTCATCAGAGCAGGAAACACTTTGACACTTAGCTCTGCTTTTCTCTGTCCAACAGACTGAAGGGAACAAGAATAGCTTTTATCCTCCAGTCCTCAGTGGCTCTGTAGAAGGCAGTAAGAGGGCCCGTCAGTGGAATATTTGCTTGGAAGTTGCTTTTCCTTAAATTATCCTGGTTTCCTTTCCTTCTTTTCTTTCTTTTTTTTTTTTTTTTACTTTATTTTTAGAGAGAGATTGAGAGCAGGGAGAGGGGCAAAGAGAGAATCTCAAGCAGACTCCAAGCGGAGTGCAGAGCCAGACGTGGGGCTCAATCTCACGACCCTGAGATCATGACCTGAGCCAAAACTAAGAGTCAGAGGCTTAACCGACTGAGCCACCCAGGCTCCCCATCCTGGTTCCCTTTCATACTGCATCTAGTTACAACAAATGCTTTTAAAATGAGAAGAGAGTGTCGCCTGGGTGGCTCAGATGGTTAAGCGTCTGCCTTCGGCTCAGGTCATGATCCCAGAGTCCTGGGATCAAGCCCCTCTTCTGGCTCCTGGCTCAGCGGGGAGCCTGCTTCTCCCTCTCCCTCTGCCTCTCCCCTGCTCATGTTCTCTCTCTGTATCTCTATGTCTCAAATGAATAAATAAAATCCTAATAAAATAAAATAAAAATGAGAAGAGAACTAGATGTTTTTCTTCTTGTCAGATCGTTCACATTTGGGGTTTCTTCCTCTAATACTAAGAAGCTCTCAGTTTTGGTTGAGTCTGTAGTTTGATGTTAGTCATCATGTGTGATAGAAAAGTGCACACAGAATCCGTGGGACTAAAGCAGCTGTGGAGGACTTCATAAGCCATCTTGTCCAACCCTCTTATTTCACAGCTGGAGAAGCAGAAATCCTGAGAGGGTAGGTAGCATTTCAGGGGTCACACAGTTTATTAAAAAGCTGAATCTGAAATGAAACATGCATGGCTGTCTCTTAATCCAATACTTTCTCCACTCCACCAGCCTGCCCTAACTTCAGCATGATTTCCAAATGACTTCCTTCTTTGGTTAAGTTAGCTAACTTGACCTCATGTAGTCACTGTTACCATTTATAGAACCTTAAATACTTACTTTAATGGATATTTAAAATATATTTTCTATTAACTTTCTTGGAATGGACAGAGTGTTTGCCCATCTAACCCAAGAGGAAAAAATGTATATTGTCAACATCAGAAATAATCAAAACAAGGCAATTCAAATTTTCACAACACTCTTAAGTGTTTTTAATAAAATAACAAGGCAGTGAACCGATTTTAAGAGGTGAGAGGCCACAGCTGCTTCTTACTCCCAGCATTAAAAATGTTTATTCTTATGTGGGCTATTAGAAAAATGCCTGAGCAGCTTGCACTGTACAGTTTTTTTCTGTCTTTAGGTCAAATGAACCTGATGCATATCATCTCCTAGGGTGGATTAAGTCACTTTAGAACCCTTTCTACCCTGAAATTCTGTTAAAGATTCAGTTAAAGAGATATTTACCAAATGCAGAGCACCATGCACCCACAACAGTAGATGGAGAATCTTAAAAAATAAAAACAAATTGATTCATAAGTAATTTTAGGAAACCATAGAATTTTAGATGTAGAAGTTGTCACATGTATCATCTGAACACCTCCTTTTACAGATGAGCCTAGGAGGTATCAGTCTCTAGTATGAGAATAGCTTTGGTTTTCTCTGCCATGTTGAAATACGTTCAGGCTGAACACTGAAGTTTTATTAAATGCTGTTAACTTTTCCAATTTGAATTGGCTTAATCCTATAGGGAGAGTATACATATTTCTCTGGTTTACCACATATAGTAGAGTTTTAGTGTGTAAATGTGACTGATTCAAGTGCCCTCAGTTTTAAAATATTCTTTGTATTTAGAATACATATAAACTAGACTTAGGTCAATAAACATCTGTGCTTAGTCTGGGTCCTATGAGAGGGAGATACCAAGAACAGATTAAATGTGTAAAAAATTCATTCAGGGAAATACCTGTTATGAGCAAAAATGGGGAGGGTGTTGGGGGAGGCTGGAAGAGCCTTCAGACCCCAGTGTAAGACTGACCCCCAGTGTGGGAGAGAGCGAAGGAAAAAAGGTTCGGTGAATCTCTAAGACTGCCCTGCCTTTCTAAAGAAAGTTCAGTTGGAGAGTCCCAGAGCCACAGTCTCCATCAGAGGAGACCTATGTTTCTTAGAAATGGCCTCACTCTAGTATTCCTGTTGTGCTCAGTAATTGGTTGCAAGCAGCCTGTGGCCTTCATGCAAATGCAGTCCAAGATCTAAGAGGCACAATCTCATGATTGCCATGTGTGCTTTATTTTTACAAATATTCTAGCTATTCTGAGCAATGTCAAAGGATACATCATGGAATAGGACTCTATGTGACGTAGAAATTACGTATTTACATGCAAGATACTTAGCACAGAGTACTATTTATCATATTTTTTTTCATTTTATTTAACATGTGTTGACTTAATCTCCATTATGTCATAGTTCTTTTAGTTGATATGTAAATGCATCTTCGGAGGCTGACTTCTTACATGAGTTTGGTAACCATACAATCTATCTTAGGGTCCTAGGCAGTTACCTCTCCCTTGTATTCAAAATGACCCAGTTTGGGTGATAAACTATATAGTCACATATGAATAGCTCTATAATAAAAAAATGAAATAATTGGCCCTGTATTTTCAAAATTTCTAGACACCCTGTAAAGTATGTGTGTGTTCATTTATATGAAATCAACAAAATGTTTTCTGTAATTTCATGATGACAAATAAAAGAATGAGCCTCATATTTTATAGTGCTGTGATAATGCTCAGGTATGCACATGTTATATGTTGTTTTCTACTTTCTCAGCCTAGAACCCCCTTTATAGATAGCACTAACTTTGGTCATGAAGCAAACTCTAGAAGACATTGACGTTACAGGGGCCTTAGTGAGCCATTAGGTAAAGTTATTGCTAGGTTAGTAGGAAATATTTAAATAGTTGAAAGACAAGCCTATCTCAATAGTATTTTCCCATAATTGCCAGATACAAGCAACTCTGCCCATAAATATGACTGGCAGTGACAAGTGCTTTTTAAAAGAAAACCCAGAATTTGTTTAGGTGCTCTGAATTCGTATCACACAATGTACTCATACAAATTAACACATCTTCCTAAGTCCTAAAAGAAACCACATTCAAGCCTTAAAAAATAGAATATCTCTCATTTACTGTTACCTTTTTTTCTCCTTTGTAGATGGAAGTTTGTATTGGGTGGAGTTCTTTGAATGTTTTTCTTTGAGTTTCTTTATTTGTTTAAAATATAGTGTTACAGGAAGGCAATGTAGATATGCATGCAACTGAGACTTAGGTAAATATTTTTTTCTTATAATCTACATGTTAGTCTAATGTATATCCAACTTTTTGATCCTATGGTACATTTTATATCAATCCATTTTGTACACATGCATGTATATAATGAAATACGAGTTACTAAAATACTACCTATACCTAACTTCTGTGTCAGTCAGGGTCCCATTATGAGACAGAAATCACAGGAGTTATTTTTAGGAGTGACTATAATATAAAGAAAC